AAAAAAAGGAAACTTCTTGAAAAAAATGTACTTGAACTACTTGAAAAAGTAGCTCCAGTTGTTACTAATGGTGTCTCTACATGCTGTGGATAGTTTATTACTTACATTTTGATTTGTTCTCATACTTGTCTCTTCTCTACTCTGTGTAAACACATAGTGAAGCTCAGCTGAAAAGTCCCTGAATTTTTGTCATACGACTGTAGTTCACAGCTGAGTCAAACATGGCTTTCCAGTTCCAGTATCTAGTTTTCTACAGAAATTGGTTTTAAGCAGAAGGTTTATTTTAAGCAAATTCATAAATGAGACATGTAGAACAAAGTGCTTTTGATGGGGCTTTTAAGTTTCGTGATAAAACTGCACATTACAGGTGAATCGTTCAAGCATTGCCAGAAAATTCTAAATGCAATGATTCTCTGTTTTCACAGTCTTCTGTTGTGATAAATGGTGTAATTTCAGCATTTTAAAAAAAACATGCATTTTAAAACTGAAAATCTAAAAATTACTAAAAAAGTTCTTCTTTTCTTTAGTAGAGTTTTCTACAGATGATTTTAAATGTTGATCGTGTTCATTTCATCATGCAGCCTTATTAAGAATACAACTAATGTAATATCTCTTTGAGCATGTTTCTTTTCATAGTACGCTGTGAATTTTTCATAATTTAATTAAGAGTTAATTCTAATAATGCTGTAACATGATAAATTTGGTAGAACTAAATCTTGTTTAAGAAAGGCCTGTAGTTTAAATTTAAATCACATGGCGATATTAGTCAGAAAATTTGCAAGTACACAGCTTTCTCTTCTCCAGTAGCTCAGGTTCATCTCTAAAATCCTGACATCTGTGATTCTGTTTCCGTGAAACTGATCAGGTGGACATTTCTTGATGCCAGATGGTGTGAGTGCACGATGCTTACAGAGACGGTGGAGCTGGGTGTGTTGGTTCCATATCCGGAGGAGGGAAGAGAGGCCAACGACCAGCGGCGACCATCAGTCCTGTAAGCACAACCGCAAAGACAAACACATGACACTCCATGACAGACTCAACACATCAACAATTATTAAAAAATACTAATCATTAACAAGAACTTGTCTTTGAACAAGGACAGGTTCTTATTGCAACATGCTAATTTTCCATGTTTGTCTTCAAAACATGTGAGATAACTTCTTAATTCCTAATGATCACACGGTTGCTGATGAATGGTGACCTTTCTCTGGTGTTGTTTAAAATGAATCCAATTAGTAACTGTACACTACACAAAACAGCAGAAATTAGAGAAACAACAAAACAGATGACAGTACAACTAAAACTATATGCCAGAACGATGTGAACGAAAACTTCAGAAGACAAACTAATGAAAGGGGTGTGAACATAAAGTGTACTTCTGACAAATGTGGGTAATGATTACTTAAGGGCAAACAGAAGCCTAACATGAAGTTACCTGTCTGCTCTGTGGCAATGACTGTGGATTATAATAAAAAAAAAAATACAGAATTACATGATATCATGTTGAGAAATGGTATAAAATAAATATGTCACCGATGCTGTTAACAAGCTGCATATTTACACATGTGCTGCATAAAAAAATATTCATGTATTTACTGATTGAGTTGTTGCAAATCAATGTTCATGTTTTCAACAATCCTGCTTCCTTTGGTCGTCACTGACTGATTTGTTAAGGTGAAAAAGAACAAGCATGGTCAGGTTACCTTCGTGCAAAGGAGAAATGAGCAGAGGCACTAGGAGAGAAATTTCTAGGACTGTCCTGTGGGCTTGTTCCTGCAGGAAAAACAGAAACAGAAAATGGGACAAAGCTAATTTAAAAGAGGAAAACCAGCAGAGCAGAAAATGTCAATCAGACCAGATTCCAATTTAAATTTGCAGCCAAAACAAAGGTTACACACTGAAGGCTACAAGATCACAGATCAGATTACCAGCACAAAAATGTCACAAACAAACAAATAATCTCAGGTCATTTTTACATCTTTGAAACATTCCCTGAAAGATTCCTTAAGAGACAACACACAAACACAACCACACACATCTTTGGATGATCCACAAAAGAATCCAAATCTTCAAACCAATCGCATGTAGAAGAACTTTCCTGCCGTGGAAATCCTCTCATGCCCTGTCCTTTAAGTCCTGGATACATGATGCCATGTCCTTGTCAAAACTGGAGAAAATCTAATTGTCCATAGGGAGGTGTCTCTGATAGATTCTCTTCCTACTGGCAACCATTAATCAGTTATTTTGAGTCGCTGCCTGCCAGTGAAATATCACAGTAGAGTATGTTCTGGGTGTGTCTGCGATGTATGACTGCCTTGCCGCCTGTTTGAACCCAGTCATGGAAAGAGCTGTGGGTGTTATTTGCATGTTCCCATGTGTACATACCTCAGTTACTAGCTAAATATTCTAAGTTTAGGACTCTCGTGAGTAATGAAACGGCCTTGATGGGATGATTAAATGATTCTGTCCTTGTTTTGACATTTAGTACTGATATTATATATACACTGAGTTTCTATTTCTGTGTTATTAGTGTAATTTATTCTTGTCTTTATTTCCATTTTAGCCCAAATGTCATAGTTGCTGTATTAATTTATAATCTTTATCTATTGTGCAATGCTATCGCTTTACTCCTTGTCAAAGAGGCCAGTGGGATGAGGTGCAAGCAGCCGCTTAAAGAACGTTCTGGGTTAGAAAACAGCAACATTCTAAAAACTGGAAATGCCATGTGTAATACTTCTACTTTTGAATACATCACACTGCTTCAAAGAATAATAAAATAGCTGTAAACAATTCAACTAAAAGCCAACTATTTTGATAACTGGCATATCCTTTGTTTTTAAGAAAAGAAAATCTGAATTCTCTGATTTTCAGCTTCTTAAATGTAAAGTTTTCTGGGTTCGTTCATCCTTTGTGACAGTAAACTGAATATCTTTGGGTTGTGGGCAAAACAAAGCATTTGGGAATGTCATCTTGGGCTTTGGGAACCACTGGACAACATTTTTTTTTTCCATTTTCTGACATTTTATGGACCAAACAACTAATCAATTATTCAAGAATCACATCATTCATTGTGGCCCTACTTTCCTCTTTATTAAAGTACTGAAAAAACACGCCACCATACCAGACCTTTAGAATTTGTATAGATTCCACCAAACAATGACAGTTTTACAGCAAACAGTTATTAATAGAATCAGGAATCCTATCTGGACCGTAACCCCTAAACATGTTTTGCTTATTTAGCACACCCAAAAAATTGATACCAGAAGAACTTACATAAGATGCCATTTAAAAGGAAGCATCTTTTAGCCTTTGCAGTCTTCAAGTCTAAAAATGTGCTTGTAGCATGTGGCAAAAACATAATGTAAACAAGATGGAATCATTTTATGCAAAACCCTTTTGATTCTTTTGTCCAGTCAACGTTCACAGACTAAAGGACTATAAATAATTGAGGAAAGGATCTTTATGATACTTCAAAAGTTGGGAGTCACCCCAGTTTGGTACTCGTGGTTTCCATAAAATTAACCGAGCAGTTAAAGTGGGGAGTCTCACAGATCTAATTATTTGTTCCTTTTGACAAAACAATTGTACTTTTACATAGAATGCTAAGCTGCTCTGAGTTAGTTTAAACTGGTTACCAGCAACCGGGTGGCCTGTTAAGAGGTGAAAGTGTCTCAGTGTAATTGCAGTAATCATCAGCACACGCACAGGAGGTGGCAGGTTTAGTCAAATGTTTTTGATAGCCTGCAGTAATCCATACGACATTGCATGAGATTCATAACATTCAGAAACAAGGTCAGCAAGCAGGCAAACTAAATCCACCCGCAGCTGATTCCAAAGTATCATTTTCACCACCAGCGTATTCATTGAATGCATATTTTCCATCTAAACAGACGGTTTGTTTGGTTCCATGTCAATTCTAATCCTCATCCTCATGTGTCTTATCCACCTTCCACTTGCTAGTTATAGTAAAACTGTATTCTTGGACAAGTTTGTTTTTAAGAGCCTCTTGATTTTCACACTGCATGCAGAGACGTGTCTGAATGTCAAACACATGATGCCTGATGGAAGCGTTCGGTGCACTTTAATACTCTCTTCTCACTGATCCTAAACGGTTGAACTTCTGAGGGATGGTGATTTGCTTTGTAAATGTGATAGTTGTAAAGCTAGAAAAGCCTGACAGGCACAGAAGTCATCAAAACCACCTTGATGTTGCTATAAAAATTCAAGTGAGCAAAAAAAAAGAAGACTGATGCTGAAATGCAGTTCGACCTCAGTTAATTTACAGTGAAAATCCAAGAAAAGTCTCTGTACACTTTACCAGGTCAGAGGCTTCACAAGTAAAAACATACAAACAGGAAGGCAAAAAGCGAAGAATGTTAATATGACAACATGATGACGGTTATAAAAAGGTCATATTCCAGCTGTAACTAAACCAAAGCAGGAAACAGTTGATGATTAACCAGTTGTGAAAGTAAAAGGAGTTGCCACCACAACATTAGAGATGTTTGAGGGAGATTTGAAAAGCTCAGCAGAGCCAGTTTCCTGTCCTTGCAGTTTATTCCAAAGAAGAGAAGCTCGATGAGCAAACACCCAAAAATGATAGGTTAAATCTAGGAATGGTTAAGTAAGACTGGAGATGTAGGAAGGAGCCAGTACATTTACAAAATGTTTCTGAGGATTTTGAAATCAACCCTCCTTGTATTGGTAGCCAACGGACAGACATCAGGACACACGTTATATGATCAGACGTCTTAGATCTTGTTTGGAATCCAAATGAAAACCTCCCGCTGCCATCATGGGTAGGAAAGATACCAGAGCACTGCAGTGGTTGAAACAAGGATTTCAGCTATCAAAATAGTTAAACACAAAGTAAACGTCTCAAAGAAGGGAGTGGCTTGATTTAATATTCACAAATGGGAAAAGCAAAGAAACAAAACAGTGTGTAACAGGGTAATAATAATGTTGGCCAGTTATCATCCTGGAGGAGCATTGGATCTGATATTCATTATTTTTCAATCAAATAACATTAATTGATATAAAAAGTGCTATTTTGGCTCTGTGGCAGCTGCCTTTCTCTGTCTATTGTCTCGAGTCCTGCCACAGCAATACCTGATTGGTTACACGTCACGATTAACAGTTATTCAACACTGAAGGAACGTTGAAAAGTCCACTTTGAATTATCTGAAACAAAAATAAGCAACAAAGTTTTATGGTAGAGTTTGTGTTAATGTGAATTTTGGCACCAGGGTTTCCATTTTTTACAGTGTATATCAGCTCCAAATATCAGCTATGAGTCTCCTTTATTACCAATAAGCAGCATCTTACGCGACCCAGAAACAAAACTTATTGGTCGACTACTGCGAGCAATATGTATCACGTTTTTTAACTTGTACAGTCATTGAATCATACGCTGCTCAACAATCTGACCATCTGCCTTCGGGTTCCAATAGTATGACCACATCTTCATTTAGGTGCAGCGAAGCCAGTTTTAAATAAAGATTGTTCATCCTTCATCAGTTCTGTTTACTAAAAAAAACAAACATTAAACACTGGCAGCTTCTCGCTAACTGTTGACTGTTTGACATTTAAAAGGACAAGTAATTGTTATAAAGACATTTTCTTCTTTGCTTCTATTTTTTTGTGTTTGGTAGCATTTCTTATGTCTCTTACTGTTTGTATTTTATTTGACTTTTACATATAAACAAACATTTGCTATATTCAGGCTAATCAGTTCACACAGTGCTGTTTAAGCCCATCAGTGCCAGGTAAATCAAAGTGTATTTTGCATGACACTGGGCATTTTAAAACTGGTTCAAGTGATGACATATCCATGCTGTTGCACTGGTATCACTATGTTTTACATTAGCCAGCGCTGACTGGTTTGTCAGAGCCGAGGAGGGGACAGAGCTACAGCAACTCAGAGTATGGCGGAAAAAACGTAGGATGCATCTAAGGGGGGGAAGGTTTATGATGCTCCGGATAAAAGACGAAAGTCTTTGTTCAGAGAAAGGACAACAATCTTGAAAGACATAAGTCATAAGAAGGTGGTGGCAGTGTTTGTGTAATTATTCCCACTGCCAATAGGGGGAGACAAAATGTGTGCACTGTAGTTTCAATGGGTTTGTGGGCGGAGCTAAGAGATGGACGCAGCTTCGGTGTTCACTCAAAATAGTGATGGCTGGAATTGTTTTGGTGGAATAATGGATAATCCACCAACAAAAATTTGCAGGGCTTCATTACTGCACAATCGAAATCTTTTAACATTTTCATTGTAGCAGGCTGCTGCCTAGAAAATGTTGTTGTTGTTTCCTGTAGCGAAGTTGATTTTGAAAATGGTAACAGACAGATAGCGGAAGGGAAGGAGAAGCCGGCTGACGGTAGCGGCCAGTGGCAGGTTTATACCCACAGCCCACAATCTTTACGAGAGATCTTTGTACATACTTTTAGCTTACAAACTCTCCTTAACTACCTTTGACCTACAGCTGTCAAGATGTTGTTGAAAAGCTTTGGCCCACTAAACACTTTCTGAAAGGCACCAATTAGAAGTTGTGTTTTCAAAACCAACGTGTGAAAACAAACCTACGGTCCAACATTAGTCAGACATAATTACATCCTTCACTGAATAGCTAATTAACCACAGGTTCCAATGCCATCACCTCCTGTGGTGACAAAGACGGGCCTTTTCCATACTGAGGAACAAGGACAGAGCCACTGAACCTTGTTAGTGATGAATGTCACCTATTAATTGCTTTATAATCTTCATAACAGCCAGTTAAAGATGATAAGCTCTTCCTTTGGGAGTGCACCAGAGGAGACTGACTGTTAGGAACATTGTCAAGAGGAACAACAGGAAATATGAGCAGAGCATTCAGAGGAAAAACATCAACTCTCTGCAGAAACCTGCCTAATTATTGCACGTCACCAGCATATATGTCAATGCATCCAGCTAAAAGACTGCACTGAAAAGATGTTTTTCTTACCTTTGGTACCAATATTACGTCTGAGCCACAGTGTTAAGTCATCCCAGAGCTGAACACACTCATTAGCCAGAACACTTTCTAAGCCTGAATCCATCTTGAAGACTGGGCTCCTTCGTTAGGCTGAGATACAGACTAAACACTGCGAGTGGCGGCTCTGCTTTTGCTGACCAATGCCAGGAAATAAAACGCCCTGTGGTAAATGAGGCCTCCCCTCCCTCTGCTCCTGTGCATTTCCTCTCTGCAGGCCGCCACTTCCTCCCCCAAAACAATCACTGCCTTTTAATTTGCCACAGTGCTATTAGATTCTAATGCAAACTGCACAGAACTGACCTCACTAAGACAAGGGAAATCTACAAAACAGACTTAAGCATTACTTTCTAGTGCTTTGTGTTCTCTCACGAGCATCTGATGTTACTGTCTGTCAACACTTTTCAGTGTACACATGCATTTTAATCCGTTTGATCATATCAATATTGTATGAAGGAGCCACAAAACTGCTGCCATTTGAACACCGATATGTGCTGTTGCAAAGATTGTACTTTGCATTTTCCTGTGTTGTTTCTCAAATTATTTTTCTTTTTTTTTTTTTTGCATTACACAATGGACTGAATTCCTGTTGGAGAACTCTGAATTAGTGGCTCCTCCTCTGTGCACCCAGTGAGTATGTTTGCAACACTGAGACGGCGCTCACACATGAGCAGACACATGAACTGGACACACACTCACCTGTCAGGGAGGAGAGAGGGGAGTGAGGTCGTGGTAAACCTGAAGACTGACCGCTTCCTATCAGGCTTTTTCTGTTGCTCGTCCTGCAGCTGTGAAACCAGAGGTACATATTAGGCAGAAAAACAGACAAAACTGTAAAACAGACAAATAAAACTAAACTATCAAAATAAAACAAAAAGAAAAAATTAAAAAAAGAAAAGACTTTTTACAAGATAAGTTTAAAGAAGAGATTTAGTTGATTTCAGTAGAAGGGAGTTTTAGAGCTGAGGGGCTCTTCAGATTTTAGTCTTGAGCCAGAAATATTCAATCTCGCCTGAACAACACAATAACATTTTCTTAATCGCACATCTGCAACATGTCTTTCAATTCCTGCCTGCACCCACAAACAGTTTCATTGATTTTACTCATCACACAGGATAATCACAATTTTTTACTGTATAGCAGGGGTGCCCAATCCTGGTCCTTGAGAGCCCCTATCCTGCATGTTTTAGATGTTTCCCTCTTCCAACACACCTGATTCACATGATCAGGATCGTTATCAGGCTTCTGCAGAGCTTCATGATGAGTTGATCATTTGAATCAGGTGTGTTGGAAGAGGGAAACATCTAAAACATGCTGGATAGGGGCTCTCAAGGACCAGGATTGGGCACTCTTGTTGTATAGTAAAGAGATGCATCACATTCTCTAAGTGCCCACGGGTGTTCCTGTAAAAAATGGTGGCTCTACATACTACAAATATTTTACAACTTCCTTTTTTTGTGTTTGTTTCCATACTTGTCCCCCATCTGCTCTGTGGAAACACATACTGCAGTTCAACCCAGTTCAGTCAAAGGTTTCTGAATTTTAGTCATGTGACTGTTGATTGCAGCTGAGTCCACAATGGCTGCTCAGTTGAACCGAAGACAGGGATTTTTTTTATTTTTCAACAGAATCTGCTAAAAGAAAATAGTGACAAATAAGCCCACAAATGTGACAGGAGCAGAAAACTCCCAGACATTGCTTGTGGTTCAGAGGGTTAAAAAAATACAATTACTACAGCCTTACTTTGCTTTCACAAATACCTATTCTGACTAAAATTTCTGTCAGCAGTACCTAAATCATGTGTTGTGACCCATGTCATCCTTTCAGTTTGGCAAAGCGTTACTTCTCTGTAAACTTTAGATTGTGAATTTAACCATACTGTGGATGTTAATGTCAACTCTGAAAGTGTGAGAAAAATGCCAAGTGCCTGCAGACAGACAAGTTCTACTTTTTCTAATTTTTATTTATTCCTATAAAGTATTCAATTACGCTCATTACACACACTGCAATGTATGTATTTCTGCATCAGTTGCTCTATTACAATGGCAAAACACTCCCTTAAGATATTCTACTTGCCCTGATACAGAAGAAAACAGTAAAAGATGGTGCCTGCTGTGCCATCAAAACAAGAGGCAGAGCATCTTAGTTCAGTCACCATGATGCTTTTGCATTTGTTGGTCATGTTGATACAGGACTGTGACTCACAAGGAGCCAAACTGATCAACAGCGCGTGACTCATAAATGAAGCCGAGTTTTTAACCTTGAGAGAGAAATTAAATATTTCAGTGCAAAAGCAACTTCAGTGTTTAATGTCCCGCTTAGTGCTGGATTTAAAATTTCAAACTAGAGGCTGTCTGTCAGTGGAAAGACATAATGCCTGAAGAACATGAATTCACTTCAAGGTCAGAGACTCAATGACATCCTGTTACATAACCTCCTCAGAGGTCTGAACCATTTCCAACTGAGTTTTTAAGCTGCTATTCAATAATCCTTTTCATTGTACTAATGACACAAAACATATTTATTCTCCAGTTTTCTCTTTAGTGTTTGAATATTGAAACAAACAAAAAATAAAGATGTTTTATTTAGAGCAGAAACACAGAGTTGCTTGGCTAAAGGATAAAGACCTCCAGCAACACAGATGCACAACAGAGGTTCATGTCAGAGAGACACAGTGTCGGTTAGTCACAGGTGCAGCTGCCTGTCTGTGTGTTGCAGCACACAGCGATCAAATTCACATGGGCTTCTGCAATGATGCGGAAATGCACGAGCGGGCAGCCTTCATCTGTTTCTTAACGCTACTGCAGAGCAGCTCCAACAGGTGCCACTGCAGAGCCCTCAGAGCCTCAATGTCACATCAGCAATAGTGAAGAGCTATGCAACTTCTCACCACAGTTGATAATGATTTGCAGTAAGGTCTCGACACTCGGCGCTCTCAAAAGACTAGATTTACTAGAGGCTTATACAAAAACAAACAAGAGTAATGCTGGATGGTAGAGACTCCCATTTTTATTGCCTGCAAGCATTCAATTTATCAGACAACTCAAAATTGGTCATGCTAGGATTAAAAACACACATTGCTCTGACAATACAGCACTGTATATTAGATACACCACAACTTTGACAAGGCCTAACTATAACTTGAATGTTGTGGTGAACACTTTTTGCAACTCAAACAGTTTAAATATGACACTTCAGTATGAGTTGAAAGCAACACACGACCTCTGATTAGAGCAGCTTAATGTTTTATTACTAGTAAATCAAGACTGTATTTGGAAAACCGATCAGCTTAGCGGCATCATCCATGTGCCTCTAACAGATGAGTCTGATACTCACAGAAGTCAACTCCACTACATGGATGGCATCGTCAACCACATTATTTAGTGGCCCTTAAATCAGGTTATTTTCGTAGCAGTGGAACACTTTATCTACCTCAATAATGCTGAAGTAGCTCAGTTAGGCGATATTTGGAAAGAGAAGATTTTCAGTGACAGTGAAGATGCTTGTGACAGAAAACAGAGCATCCAAAACTAATGATTCAGGTTTTTTTTGTGGATTTTTCCATCTGTGCACAAATAAAATCACACAAATTCATGAAATAACCTTTTATAACATTAAAAAAACAAACAAAAAAAAACACGACAGAGATTCTTCTTGTGAAAAATTAAAGACTGTTTCAAAGACTTTTTAGTCTTATATCAACACGGCATTTAGCTAACGCAGAATTGATGCAACAATAGATAAATATCAGTTGGTGATATGTTTGCGTAGCAGCAGCCAACAAGATAAATACCAGATGCTGATGTAAAGTCGGGGTATTGGTGTATCTCCACCTACAATATCTCACTAATTTGATGCCTCAATTTAACCGTAACACTGAAAAGAAAAAAAGAAAAAGCCTTGTTCCTGTTAAACACTCAGCAATTATCCACTTACCACTGTCTAATAGGATGATGAGGACATGATGAAGAAGTGCACAAGGACTGAATATTAACCAATTTGTGATTACTATACCTCACCGCTCTCATGATTATTAAGGAAAGGCTGTTTTTGACGATGCTTAACCCCCTGAACTCCAAGCAATTTCTGGCTGTTTTTTGCTCCTGTCACTCATGCTGCACTGCAATATAAAGTCCTGCACCTCAGTGGAAACAGCTCAGCTATGGCTAGAAGCACAGAGACCTAAAAAAATGCTGTGCATGCAGTATGACACAGTTGTAATGTAATGAATCTTTTTTTTGTTTTTTAAAAAAAGAAAAAGACTAAAGTTACATTCCTTTGATTTATCTATATCACAAAAATATAAAGAAAAAAAACTGGAATCACTATGTACAACATCTTTTTGCTTTGTATAAATACAGCCTGCAGTTAAACCTAGTTCAGCCTGAGTCCCTAAGTTTTGGTCACTGCTGGGTCAATAACGGCTTCATGGTTGTGTGAGGAGTGTGGAATTTTAGATTTTTTATTTTTTTTTCTCACAATCTGCTTTCCACAGATTCTTATTCTTATTATTGTTATTATTATTATTATTATTGTCATTTTACAAACAAATAGTATAAAATAAAATGATTTCAATGAAATATCATGATGTTAGGCTTAGATATGGAAAACGTCCCTAACCAAACTACACACGGCAGACGATTAGCTCAAGGACTGTTCAGTTAAAAATGTGATAACTCGCTGTGTTTCTGGCTGATGAATAGTGTACTTCTGGTGATTTGGCAAAGACAAGAGGCCCTTCAAACCTGCTGGTGGGGTCTGAGGTTCAGTCACAGAGATAATTCCTGTTATTTGGATGATGATGAGGCACATGTGAGCAATTTCTGCATTTCAAGCCAAATGTGATGTGAGGATTTGACCTGCAGGATATTGATCTTCCACTGTGGGAGTTTTGCATTCAATTGAATCAATGAGCTTGTAGAATCTAATCTAGAAGCATAGCAGCAAAAAGACACAAAATTTGCACTTAATTTAGTAGATTTCTCTCACAAAACAAAAGGAATTTGTTGCTAAAATTCACACAACTGTACCAGAAGGTAAACCAAAGTCAAGTGTAACAAGACATGACAAACTCAAAAACCCTGAGGCCAACCACCACCTTCACATGGTTAAGCACCTGCTGAGACAACAGACCAGTGCAGAATGATATGCTACTTGTACTTCACTGCAGTTTGACTTCTGCCCCCAAAATCCAAATTTATCTCCCGCAATCAGAAGGGAAACCCTGTTTTGACAGCAATCCCAGTCATCCTTGTTTACTCAAGTGGCTTCTAGGGCTAACCCTGCAATCAGGAGTGTGGACACATGCCATGAATCATTTATCATGATGGGGAGGGAGTGAATAATATCTGGTACACAGGTGCTCAGTCAAAGAGGATCAGATTTAACGAGATCTATTTATACCCTCTCACTGTGGATTAGGCCAAGAGAATGCCACAGTGCTGCCCAATCAAGCCTCTTGTTGCCTCACTCTCACTCCCCATCCCAGTGTTTTGTATCATCACGACCCCCACTACAGAACTGAGTGCCAATCATGGACACATTAAAATGCTCTCTGAACCTCAAAACTCACCAGCAGGTTTGAAAGGCAAGCTATCTTTAAAAAGTTGCCAGATTTACAACATTTATCAGAGCCAGAAAAAGTTAAAAATCAGTGTCATTCAGTTTCGTGGAGACACGTAACCAAATCTGAGGGTGAATCATCCAAATCATCTTAATCTAAATGTCTCATTTAAACATTTGCAATAAATAAACAGTTTTCAATCACCAGATGCAGTAATAGAAATAAAAAAAAAAAACTGACACTTGGCATAACCAAAAAGCCATTTGTGAACCAGCTGCCACTAACAATCACATTACAAAAATTCAGGGATTATCCGTCTAAATTACTCTGTTTACGCAGAGCAGACAGGAGACAAGAATTAAAAACGTAAGTAACAAAATATCTGTTTTGTGTAGAGTTGCCATTGTTGACCATGTGAGCACTTGATTCCAGGTTTTTTTTAATTTTTGCAAAATAAATAAGTTTCAAAGTTCAAAATAATAAAATTCACCACTTTAATGATTTATAGCATTATAACTGCGTTATGCTGCAGTAAAGATGTCGTCTTCAGTTCTTTCTACTTATATTTAAATTGTGCTGTTTCCACAGCGGTGCAGGATTTTGTACTGCAGTGAAAAATGAGCCCACAGTGAGTAAAAATGTGACAGGAGCACAAAAATTGCCAGAAACTGCTTGAGGCTCAGAGAGTTAAAATGAATGCTTCTGGTTTACTTTACAAAAAGACAGCCACAGGTTATGATGGCATGCAGGACGTTATGATCACGTGATGCTAAGCTGAGCTTTGGTACCGGCACCTCTGCGGCCACAGCGAGGAGGAGAAATCATGTTGGTATAGAGAAGCTTTAAAGGGGGGATAAAGGAGCCCTGGGCGAAGATGATAGGGAGAAAGTAGGCCAGTGTTTGTGCTGTACTGCAGATGTGTGAGATTCCTGGAACGGATCCATATGAGGTTTAACAGTCTCGGTTACATGCAAAAGCATCAACCTTATCAAACCATTGTTGTGTTACACAGACACAGCTACAAAATCTCTTTTTCAGTGGCTAAAAATACTTTCTGAAGGTGTTCATCAAAGTTAGCGATATTTTACATATCAGAGCTTGTTTTATTTTTTCCTAGATTCATTTTACAGTAACCTACATTACTCTAACACAAAGTAATCTCAATCTGTCAAAAACAATTTCTAAGATTTCAGCTTGGTTACTTATTTGGGCTACAGGAAAATACAAAAATAGATGAAAACCCTTTTGATTCACACAGTTCTGAATCCCGATGAATCTGAAATGTCTGATCCTGACCCATGTCAACAAAAAGCCATGATTAATCTCTTTTACTTCTGCGAGTTTTGCTCCCTCGTCACAGCTGTCAGGTGAGCTGACAAAGCGCAATGACACATAAATTGCTGCTCTGCGCTGACAAACCCAAATTCAAAGTCAGACATATGACACACACTTGTCTATTAATAGTATTTAAAAACTTGCTGCTTGGGTAAAAAGCATGGCAGCTCATTTTTGTAGCCACTGAGTACAGCTGTTTTCTTTGAACTACTGAGGATGTACAGTATTGGACAGAGATTTAGTTTTGATAAATCTCTTGTTGTGGGAGGATTTTATATTTCGACATACAGTGCATGACATTTGAACTTTGTGCCAAATGGCAGCATTGTAAAGTTGTTTGTAAGGTTACAAATTACAGTAGTATGCTGTATCTCTGCCATTTTGGCTTCTAGCCGACAGATGTATCAGCTGCCTTACTGCTGATTGTACAGTGTTCTGATTAAACTAACAGCCGTATTATTTTACGACTGACAACAAACTATTCTGATTATACGTGGAAACGCAGGAACAGCAAACTGAGCTGATTTTATAATTTATAGTCACCGATGATCTGTAATGAAACTTTCTATCTGTTCTTAATATCTGTGTTGCCTTAAATCAGTGATTTGATCATATCTACAGCACTTCACCATTTTATTTATAAAACACAGTAGAAAAACATGGCTGTGATCTCTTAGACTATTATTATTAGTACAGCTCCAGTTTTCAATATCGAAGAAATCTGACAGGAGTTTTCAAATGAAAATATTTATGCACTGATGCAATGTCCCAAAACTGCCAGTATTTTGCGTTAAGCTGTTCTACGCTATAAAATAGGTCACAACAGGGATTAAAAATGAATATGAGTGTATGGGCTTTACCAATTCTGTAGCCCCATCATATACAAAAAACTGGGATCAAGGGGCTTAGCTATAAACCAGTTTCTACACACTCTAAAACCCACAAAGCTGCGAAACCCTTTTAATTCAGCGACATTGGGAATGTTCAAAAAGTCAAATGCAATATAAGGTTTTAAATGAAATCACAACACTTTCACAGGAGACGTCGGAACCAAATATAATTTCTTGGTTTAGGAAACTGTAACAGCAACAATCAGCAACAGAAATTTAAAAAACAATCATCATTTCCACTTTCCGACTGTTAATTATTAGGGATGGCACATAGGAAAGCACACATCCTGTGTAAGGAACATGAGACTGCCTCAACAACAAACATTCAATTACCATTTGACTCACAAAGCAAATAATATACAATAGGCAAGAAGGGAACACCCAGCTTCTTATTCACATTGGCCTCGTAAACCAGCTCAGATAACTGAATGTAAACACAAGGAAAACATATGTGCTGTCACTCACGTGGACAGAAACTACAACTCAGGTCACCTGTGTGGTCACAAAATGACTGTTTTACTCCGTTCAAACTAGATTCTTCAACATAAGAAGGCTGGCATTGCATGAACGAAAGTAAAGCACGCCTTCAAACAGTTTTAAACAATACCTTTTGGACCGGCGCAGGCGAGCTCCGCTGAAGAAATGTGGCATGTTAAAGTTGGACAGTACCGTCCACAGACTAGAATCTGACATTGTGTCCAAGTCATGCCAGAGCGGGAGATGCACGGGCGGCTTTTGGAGGCCTGATGAGGAAAAGCGACGACCCTCAGGGTTCAGGAGGTGGCGACCCCCCAAGCAGTCCTGACAAGTGCTCTCCTTAGGTCCAAACTTCCTCTGCACAGGCACATCTGCAGCCAGCTGCGGCATAAACACACCGGCAGGGAGGACGCGCTGTCCTCCTCTGTCCTCAAACAAAAAAGTAATCCGGGGAGAATCCTGAAAGGCACACAGAGTGTGTGATCCAGGTCAGGTGTTGACAGCCTCCACTGTTGCAGGGATATGACACCTAATACCAGCTGACTTTGTGTTTGCCGTCTCACTGCGACTGTGCTCTGTATCCCAAACACTCCCCCTGCTCCCTTCGCTCAACATGCTTGATATCATGTAACAGGCATCTACCACTTCTCACCGTGTGGAGGGGGGGTTGTGAGACAGAGGGCTACTGCATCATCAGCAGATGCTGCTGTGCACTCACTGCTTTCGCAAACTGGCACCCCTCCAGAAGTCCGGTGGGTCAGTGTATTAAGCAGGACCTATTTGAAATGGAAATGTTGTGCTTTTGCATGGATTCATCTGCCACTGCATAAATTCTTCCCTTAGCTGTTCCTTGCATAGACAGTGCTGCCTCATTCATGTGATGGGAGCCTCACCTTAACTGCATCACCTTTGATCCTTGGCTCACTTTCTTTTGACGCTGCAGGCAGATAAGCAGTTTAACACAAACGACTGTAGGGAAGACAAGAAGCTCCAAAGTGTCACGCACACTTATGATATTCAAATTTATGAAACTGGTTATTCAAAAAATAAAAAAAAAAGGTCAGCTTTAACTCTAATAGATCTGCTATTTCAGCTAAGTTTCAGGAAAGGAACCGTTGTCAGTTTGATCAGTAGTCATGACTTCACATGCCAACAATCCTTTTTGTCAGTTCAGTGATGAATTTGACTTTGGAGTCCTGCATGTATGTGTGAGAGTTTAGGGTCAGCTGACCACAGTGCCCTGTAGGGGGAAAGTATGCTGACAAATTCTGTGAAGTAACTGTCAGAGCTACGAACACAACAATATTCCAGCCCAGTTGAACATTAAGACCAAGGCACTGATTGTTTTTGTTTAGTGTCTGTTATCCACAGACGAGGGCAAAGTTCAGTCCTGCAAACGAAACGAGAGCTCCGTATCTGTGATAACAGCGTCTGAGGCTGCTGTCGTCATGCCATGATTAATGCAGTAAGGTATACGCTACTTTCACAATCCAGCTTCAAAACATCATCGTCTTGTCATGCCCGAGCTTCAAGTTATAACAGAAATAGAAATAGCTGCCAAATTCATGTGAGCAAGTGAAAACAGATTCAATGCAAATCACATGAAAACACACATTACCGGTTATGTGGCTTCAGGTCTCATGTCATATGAACAGAACATGTCTCTTTTTGCTGCTACAGCGTCAACAGATTTGACACCTGCAGGGGTCTCAACTGGTGCCAACATGTCAACTGAGAGAAAACATGCAGCTTTTGATTTGACAGTCAAATAATGGTTTGTTTTTTTAATAAATACATTTTTTTTTTAAAACAACAACAACAAAAAACACTAGAAAGACATTAGCTTAATCCTCTCTGATGGGAATATTTGCTGGTTTCCTTGATTGTCTGTGATAGCAAATTTAAAGATCTTTGGATTTTTGGTTGTTGTTGAGAAACAAGCTGCTGTAATCACCATTTTCTGATAATACAGACAACAACAAACAAATGATTAGAACTGGAGTGCAGAACTTTAACATACAAATGAATATCTTGTTTTGTCGACAACACAAAGATACTCTGCTTTATTTCAAACAATATTCAACTTTGGAAATCACAGAATTTGTATTTTTTTCTTATAAAGTATTGATTATCAAAAGGTTGTCAATTAACTTAACAGCCGACAATTAATTGATTAACTACACTCCGAAAATCAGTTCAAGGGACCGACTCCCACCACGAAATAAAATGCAAAATAAAAATTATGATCTACTGATTTATATAAACCTTCAAAGTTCAAAGCATTATTTGATGGGTTGGGTTGACATAGTATGGTTGGTAGCTGCATCAGTTTGTTATTGTGTGTAAGTTAAAGTCAAATTTCAGCATAGCTGATGTAAAACTAAATTGAAGGTGCAGTAACTAAATGAAATTGGCTTGATAACGGAATTTTTCTTCACCTTAAGGTCAGAATTTCAACTGCTCTCCGCTATGTAAGCAACATCCGAGTGAGTGAATTCTTTATATTTGTCAACTTAAAAACTTGTGTTTGCATTTAGAGTTATTAAATACATAAAACTTAGAGAATCCTTTTAAATTACATGGAAATACGAGTTGGAACAAATTCATTTATGTTAGTAATTAACTTAGATTTGCATTCATGCCATCAATCATTAAGTAATTAAGAATACCTTTGACTGTAAAGGAAAAACTAATTTCCCTAACTAATGTTGTTTTTGTCATGACTTAAAAAGACTGAGGCAAATTGTTGTGGTATTTGTTTTTGTTAAACGTCCAAGATAAATTTCAGATGCTGAAGATGAAAAATAAACTCAGTGTTTGGAGGGAGAATTACAGTCCTAAAAAAAAGAAGCAATTAATGTGAAGACATACATCATAAGCACATTTCTGCACTGTTGGTTTAAGATCAAATAATGTAACAAAAAAAAATAAAAACAGAAAGTATTTTTTATTTAATTAACCAATAATGAAAACTGTTTAATGCAGCAACAACTTGGATAAAAGATTATTCTCATTAACAGTAAACAGCAAATGATTCTCTTGATTCATCCTGCAAAAAAAAATCAAAAACTGTAAAAAAATAAAAAATTCCTGTCACATTTCTCAGCAAATGTCGTACTGAGTCTGAGCAGCAGACTGCAACATAATGATCTCCAGTTTAATGAATGTAGGACAAACAAAGTCTCCCATTTGAATAGCTTCATCAATTTTTTTAGCTGTTTCATTATTGACAGAGAAGCGTTGCTAGATGACTTTCGGGCAGTCGACTAATCCATTCTACATTTCTTTAAAACAGTGACTTATTTTATTAGATAATGATCTAAACCAAAACAAAGAAGCCAAAACACCTTTAAGAGAGCTCAGACTAATTAACTTTTGAGAAGAACCACACACTTGATGGGATCAATACAAGCTTTGTTGTCAACACAAATCAGTCGGGCGACCAAAGATCAGCTGCTTTGTCAGATTCTACTTGGCCAGTTATGATACTAACAGCGAAGAGCAAAGACGTGGTTCAAAGCCTGGCTGAGAGCTTCGCGAAGGAAATGCACAGTCAGATCTCAACCTGAGCACCGTCACAATGCTGCAGATTAGTCTAATCACTTGCCAAGTGCACTGCCTGGAAAGGATTCAAAAAAACAAGAAGGAGCAAGACGGAGAGGAAAATCGACAAACGAAGAACACCAGCATGACTGGCACATAACCACTGGTTCTACTTCCTTCTGTAATAAAGTGTTATCAGAAGTCATTTTTTTGTCTGTGTAAAGCCTGCGTTTGCTTGTGCATTCCCTCAGAGTGGCTCAGTCTGCCTCCCTACAGGCCGGCGTGACAGCCTTTACTCTAATTATGGCTCTGCTCTGTTTCTGTGCTCCACATAAGAAATGACGGTTCAGATGGTTCAAAGTCAAACTTGCATAGAGCAGCATGAATAGGGAGGTCACTGCCTCTGCTGACATTACAAGCAGAAAATTTGTGTTGCTGTCCTCTCAGTGATTTGTTTTCTCGTAGCTCTTCAAAAAAAGAATAAACAAAGACCAGCAGTTTAACAATTACACTTTTTTTTCCCCCCTCAGTGAGCTGTAACAACGCAGGATGCAACATATTTATTCTTGTAAATGCAAGAAAAAGTGAAGTGTGCAGGCAATCTGGAGAACTGCTTCATATAATCAGAGGCATCAGGACACACAGGGGATAACATGTAATTCTTTGCAACAAAGCAATTAGCACAAGCAACAATCTGGTAACATTCAGAAATCCTGGGAAAGGTCAGCATATTTTGTGAGCTCACTGTCTCCTCTGCTAAATGATAGGAAACACAGAAGCCAAAAATAATAACGCTTTAAACTGTCCTACGGCTAATGGGCTCGCCCGGACATATTCTCGCTTTATGTGCAGGTGTCCAATTAAAAGTGCTCTGTGGAATATTCTTATGAACGAACCACACTTGTGTTTACATTGACTGTGTCTCAACAAATGTGTTCGGTGCATTTCCTGCCTCAGAAACACACGTAAAGCCAACTTGAAACGATCTAAAATTAAGCAGTGCTGACATTCGCTTGTGCTAGCATGCAGTTTTGTTCGTCCTTGTTGCCATTATTGGTGATTTTTAAGTTGCTTGGTACGTTTACGCCACAAACTGTCAGTCAGGACCATAACGTGAGACCAGCAGCAGGTATGTGCAGGACATTCAAGTGCATCTGCTCAACTTCAACCAAGACGGGACTCATTTGAAAAGCATTGCTCCGTTGCACTACTCGTGGTAAAAGATACTACAGGGAACCTCTAAATTTTAGGACACTTTCCTTGATAATTGTATTAAATGCAAGCTGCTGCATGGCAAATCTCTGATTTTTAATCTTCCGAACTCCAAGAAGTTTTGGAGTGTTTTTTGCTCCCGTTACATTTTTACTGAATCAAGGCTCATTTTTTAATTTTTTTTTTTTACTGCAATATAAAGTCCTGTATCTCTATGGAAACAGCCCATCCATGGCGAAAAGAAGAGAAAACTCAAAAATGTCTTCTGTGTAGTATGGCAAATGCAAATGGCATTAATCCTAAAAAAAAAAAAGAGAGAGAGAGCGAGAGGAAACAACCAAACGTTGAATGTTGAAAAACCCTAAATCAATACGTACATTTTTCCAAGAGCTCCCATGTTGTCAAACTGGAAAAAATGGTGGCTCTAAATGCAATGGATATTTTGTTATTAATATTGTATTTAGTTTCCAAACTTGTCTGTCCTTTCTGCTCCGTGTAAACAGATTGCAGTTCAGTTCTATTAAGCAGAAAAAGTCATTTTTGTCACATGACTGCTGGTCGCACATGAGTCACAAATGGTTTCTCAATGGCGTTGAGAAGCACAGAATGTTTTGTTTTTTGACACAATCTGGTTAAAGCAAATGGCTCAGTTTCAGGCAAATGTTAAAATGAGACATGCAGAATAAAGTGATTTGGATGGAAATATAA